CGGTTTAGAAACCAAGAGGATTGAACCATTTTGAATGAATAATAAATATGTAGAATCTTGCAAGAACACCCATGCCTTTATTATTTGGGTGAATATCAAAACGCTGTTTCTTAGTGTCAAAATGCGGGAAAAGTCTCGTGTTGATGCAGCCCCTAGCATCCAAGAAAGCAGGAAAGATATCTAAGAAATAATGCCTATACCGGGAGCACATATTGTAAATCAGATTGTTCATTCGAATAACATTTCTCTCAGTAAATTTACAACCATTAGGATTAATTGGAGGAACAGATTGAAACCATACTTTTGCAGTTGGAAGTATCAACTGAAATATTGTTAATTGATCCATAGTACGTAATATAGGGTGTTTAAGTTGGTATACTAATATTTACTCGATTTCACACATGTCGAGATATCATACAAATTTATGTGACTAAATTTACCTATTTCTGCCTTCTGTATTTGTATTTGCCTATAACAATGAAATATGTGAACAATTCCAAACACATTCAGCTCACAAAATAATGCTAGACTATTCGGCATTTCTTGTCAGGATGTCATAAACATCCCTCATATAAATTTCTTAAATGTGTGACGGAGTTTACATGGTGCTACCATTTAACGAAAAAAGTCGCTATATATGTAGATAATAGTCATATGCAACTATCCTATAAATTTGAAATTCGAAAATTTGGTCAAACACGGTAACAAGGGGTCCATATAAACTCTGTCACATTTTTATAGTGTGACAAAGTTTACAACTCACTACCGGCCGCATTTAAGCGATATCTTATCGTCTGATAAAGATATCGTTATGCGACAAAGTTTATCTAGAGGATGAAACGATTATCCTAACCATTGAGGGTTTATATAGTTTTATAGTGTGACACATTTTACATCATCGTGCCATTTAGTAGGGTCACTAATATTTACCAATATCCTCAAACTTCAATGAACGTGTCCAAATACATATTTATAAATAATATGTATTTAACATTGAATAATGTTTATAAATGTTTATAAACACAAATATGTCTCACAGTGATGGAGTTATGTGTCTTTTTCAGGGTATTCATCACTTATCAATGCCATGAAGCTGATCGTTGCTGTAATCTGTATTCTGAAATGGTGATTTTATTGCCGAGTGACACATTATTTCTGGTATTGTACATGTAATTTCTGGTAATCAGCACAGTTCATGTTCAAAACACGAAAGTAAATTTGTTCACAACAGTCAAGTTCAAAATAAGTTAGATAATGTCAATGTGTGTATCAAACAGCAATTGAATTTTAGGAATTCAACACAATTTTTAATTTGAAAATTGAATTAATTATTATCTCTATTATATAATTCAGAGAATTCTTTCTGTTGTTGTATGTACGACCGCCCACGTGCAAATTAGATGAGAAATAGGAATTTAGGTAACAACCTAAAGGTTCCATAGCAACGGTGTTTTAATGCACACATGCACGTGCAAAGATTGTTTTAACGTCATTTTGATCGGTTTTGTGGTAATTGCGTTGTGTTTAGAGTGTTTTATATTTAAATCGGCTGTATCTTCGGTTGAGATGGATATTTTTTGATGCGATTAAAACTTTCTTTCAAAGAATACTACTAGCTTCGTCCCTGTTACCACGGGCTTTCTAGTCTCTATTATAATTCAGAGAATTATTTCTGTATGTAGAATGTATGTACGACCGCCCACGTGCAAATTAGATAAAAAATAGGAATTTAGGTAACAACCAAAAGGTTCCATAGCAACGGTGTTTTAATGCACACATGCACGTGCAAAGATTGTTTTAACGTCATTTTGATCGGTTTTGTGGTAATTACGTTGTGTTTAAAGTGTTTTATATTTAAATCTGCTGTATCTTCGGTTGAGATGGATATTTTTTGATGCGATTAAAACTTTATTTCAAAGAATACTACTAGGTTCGTCCCTGTAACCACGGGCTTTCTAGTATATATATAAATCAAGCGTTACATTTCAGCCATGCAAAATTACAATGACATATTTTGATATACTAATTGATAAATGTTACTGCAATATAAGTTGCTTAATGTTTGGCCGGATGACAACTAACGAGAAAAATAAACTTGATTAGATAATAATTAATTCGGCTAAACCAACACATAGCAGGAGCCACATTAACGTTTGGGGCCGTCAAAAATAGAAGTGTTATCACGAAAAAGCACTTAAAAAGGGTCATTTTTTACTAACCTTCAATTCTCGTTGAACTGGTTGAAGCTGATATCCTCTCTTTCTTCCTGTTGAACATTCTTATAGTCTTTATACAGCATCGTCTTCGTTCCTGGAGTTGGTTATTAATAACTTAAAATAAGAGTAAATTATCATTAATTGACGATATAAAGATCTTCTCGCTTTTGCCATTTGAAATGGAAAGCACCGGATTTCCAGTCAGTTCTAATATTTGCTAGACAATATCACCAAGCTATCAATGGCGTATGTTATTACAATTGACTAGGCTCTACGTATTAAGTATAGGTACGTACCGTAATTGTAGCTGCTGATAAAAGCTGAAAGTAGGTTTAAAAACGAAGGCAAATAAGTTTTCTTCTCTAAGGTTGTTATATATCAGGGCTGGATAAACTTCAGCAGTTCAAAACTAATTACAACACAACAAATCTATTACATTTATTGAATATTATGTAATATTTTAAGCGGGTAATATTATCCTGTCCAAACCCAGGATACATAACATGAAGACTTTGTTGTAACTTTGTATGAGAAGTATTAAAATAAGCCTAATAATGTTAAAATTTTTTGGATATTGATTGAGCAGTTTTTTGAAAGATTTCGACGAAAAAAGTAATCTATGGCGGCCGAGATGGCTCACCAAAATTTTCACTGAAAATTTTGAATTAAAAAATTAATCATACAATCAATCGCAAAATAAAAACGACTTTGAATTTGATTTGTAAAATGATTTTAAAATTTAAATAAAAACGATTTTCATATTGAAATTGAAAACGATTCTCATTTTTAAAACGATTTTGAGTTTGATTTTGAAAACGATATTGATTTTTATTTTGAAAACAATATTGGTTTTGATTTTAAAAACGATATTGATTTTGATTTTAAAAACGATATTGATTTTGATTTCGAAAACGATATTGATTTTGATTTTTAAAACCATTTTGATTTTGATTTTTAAAACCATTTTGATTTTGATTTTGAAAACCATTTCGATTTTGAAAATGTTTTTTTTTTTTTTTGTGGCGGCTGAGATGGCCCAGCTAGCTAATTAGCCGTATGGGACTTATGTTCCGGGGTATTTGGAACAGGTTTATGGGTTCAAATAGTTAGTACATGTCCCAAACCATCAGAAAAATCAAGTTTCGACCTCCCAACACACTCAGGCCACTCCCAGGGGCCACGCCCATCCCAAAATAGCTGAAATCCAGATAGTTAGATGGGCGTGGCCCCTGTGAGTAGCCTGAGTGGGTTGGGAGGTCGAAACTTGATTTTTCTGATGGTTTGGGACAGGTACTAACTATTTAAACCCCTAAACTTGTTCCAAATACCCCGGAACATAAATCCCATAAGGCTAATTAGCTAGCTGAGCCATCTCAGCCGCCACCAAAAAAAAAACATTTTCAAAATCGAAATGGTTTTCAAAATCAAAATCAAAATGGTTTTCAAAATCAAAATCAATATCGTTTTCGAAATCAAAATCAATATCGTTTTTAAAATCAAATTCAATATCGTTTTTAAAATCAAAACCAATATCGTTTTCAAAATCAAAATCAAACTCAAAATCGTTTTAAAAATGAGAATCGTTTTCAATTTCAATATGAAAATCGTTTTTTATTTAAATTTTAAAATCATTTTACAAATCAAATTCAAAATCGTTTTTATTTTGCAATTAATTGTATGATCAATTTTTTCATTCAAAATTTTCAGTGAAAATTTTGATGAGCCATCTCGGCCGCCATAGTAATCCTCCGCTTCTTGTACTTACTGCTCACAGCTCATAAAATGGTCAACAAAGGATTCACATCTTTTCAGTTGAAAGGTTCGTTCCTACTGAGTAAGGGTCTGAAACAAATTGTTATAATATGATATAATAGCAATACATCAAACCTTTGTTAAATCTTTGAATAGATTTTGAATTTAATTTAATGTTAAATACATATTTATAAATAATACGTATTTAACTTTTTTATGAATGTTTAAAAACACAAATGTTTCTCACAGTGATGGAGTTATGTGTCTTTTTCAGGGAATTCATCGATCAGCCATGAAGCTGATCGTTGCTGTAATCTGTATTCTGAAATGGTGATTTTATTGCCGAGTGACACATTATTTCTGGTATTGTACATGTAATTTCTGGTTATCAGCACAGTTCATGTTCAAAATGCGAAAGTAAATTTGTTCACAGTTAAATTGAAAATAATTTAGATAATAGCAATGTGTTTTAAACAGCAATTGAATTTTAGGAATTCAGCACAATAGAAGTGTTGCAGTATATGACGGAAAAAAAACAAACACTTAAAGTGGACATTTTCTTACTAACCTTGAATTCTCATAGATTAATTGGAGGTGATATTCTCTCTCTTTCTTCCTGTTCATCTCTATTCTGTCGACATTCGTAAAGACTTTATACATCATCGTCATTGTTCCTGGGGTTGTTAATTAATAACTTGAGATAGGAGTAGATTATCATTAGACCTTATGAAGATCTTCTGGTTTTTGTCATTTGAAATGGAAATCAACGGATTTTCGGTTAGTTTCTAATATTTGCTAGGCTATATTATCAAGGGTTTATGTTGTAACATTGAGCTAGATTCTATGTACATCTCACGATCGCATTAAGTGTTTTATTTTAATTTAATATATTTATGAAACAAAGTGTTTTACTATGTTATAATGAAAATGCATTCTTACTTAATTGATTTTACATTTTATTTTGCTTTGTCAAATGCTGTTGTGTTGAGATCTCAGAGCAGGTTACCTCGATACCTTTTCTGGGGACTTATGGGTATTGGGTTTCTGCTGTCATACTTTTCCACCCGGAAAACTCAAACATACATTTTCTTATTTAGATATCTAAGTTAGATTGCAGTATCATCTGAGCTATTTGTCATAGCCCATCAACTGTAAGATTAAATAAATCAGTTTTTTATAGTAATATAACCATTAACCAACTCTCCCCCTTACGACATTATTTTACCCCCTTTCGTCGGTTATGCTGATACTGCCCTGGTTGTACGAAGAGTTTAGTTATCCTTTTGTAGTGATGATATGGTCATTTAGCATATCCGCTTTTACAATTATACCTTAGATGGCAAGTACGTACGGTACAGGGCTTTAAGTACGTACGGTACAGCTACTTTTAAAGGTACGTACGGTACAGGCACTGTAAGGTACAATTTTTTTTCAAATTTTTAGAATTAACTTCTATTCAGTGAATTACTTGCAATTTTTTATTAGTATTATCATCATAATTTTTGAGACAGAACTAGAAGTCGAAAATAAACACACAAATTAACCGGTACTACACTACTACTACTTGTAATTATCGTTAAACTCAAAGCTTCATCCTTTTGTTGCAGTATACGAACACCAGCTTTTCAGCTAGCTCAGGTCGAAACCTTAATCTACGCTTGTCCATTGCTATCAACTGGATTTGTACCTTTCAGCCTACTTTATTAAGTACGTACCGTACAGCTAATTTAAAGGTACGTACCGTACGTACTTGCCATCTTAGAATTATACCTGTATTTATACACTCGGGTTCATTAAAATCGAAAATAAATTCCGTTCCTGAGGTGCAGGTCACCTCGCTGCTCCCTTTATTGAGAGCTCTGGATTCAACACAATTCACTTCCACCACGGTTCCTGGGACTACTGGGAACTGTGTTGTTGTTCTGATCGCAGTTCTCCACTCAGCCTTCAGTCCCTTACAGCTCACTGTCGATATGTCATATTAAATCACGTTAAACTGATTAATAAGGGTTATTTTGACGGTTTCTTATGTTCTCTTCCGCAGTTCCGCGACTTAGTTTTCCTGTCCCAACCCGAACCCTTTCAAGCAACCTCAAATATAACTATACTACAATTTACCATTCTGTATCGCAGTTAAATAAAATTTAAAACATAACAATAGTATAAGATTTAAAGTTATCTTACCACAGGCAGTTTTGTTAGTGTTTGGTTTCCCTCCAGCGGCACATGTCTCACAGCTTGTCATAGCATCAGTCCGATATGTTCCTTCCCCACACGGCTCTGGAATTATAACGTTATATATCATTACAATTGGTAAATCGATGTGGAAGATAAGGAAATCGTTATTATATAACTATTTAAGTAAATTAAAATCGTTATTATATAAGTACACTTTAGACTTGTTTCAATTAAATTAGATTTAAAACAATAGGTGAATAATTAAATATCCACAGAACCACGGTTTTTTGATAGAATTATTACCACCCAGACTCTTACAGTTCTTGTCTTTCCGTACCACAAATTTGCCTTCTTGATTCTAAGCCCTAATAATAATTAATAATTTTAATATAATAAAATCTTGTTAACAATTCTTACCACATTTTGTTCTCCCTGAGTTTCGTTCCTGGCCAAGTTCACAAGCTGTACACAAGGCTGCTCCTTCTGAACTGATCGTGTTATCAGGACATTCTTCACATGTGTTCATCTCAATGTTCTTGTAGCTTCCAGCTGGACATGGCTCTGAAGAATTAGGAAGTCTTTAGCAGTAATTCGTTTGAACTACCTTATTATTATTAAGAAGTTATTGTGAGTACCAATATCCTCGGTTTTCATTCTATAACTCAGTTAATTAAATTTAAAACACAACAATAATATTAAATATAAGCTTTAAAGCTTACCACAGGCTGTTTTGTCAGAGTTTGGTGTCAATCCAGCTTCACATGTCTCACAGCTTGTCATAGCATCATTCCGATATTTTCCTTCCCCACACGGCTCTGGCATTAATAACGTTAAAACTGGCAAATCGTAGTGGAAGATAAAAAAATCGTTATTATATAAGTATTTAAGTACAGTTTAGATGTGTTACAATAACATTAGATTTAAAACAATGTGTGAATAATTAAATATCCAAACAACCACGGTTTTTGATAGAATTATTACCACCCAAACTTTTACGGTTCTTGTCTTTTCATACCACAAATTTGCCTTCTTGATTCTAAGCCCTATCTGGCGCCTTATCCTTATCCCGTCTTAACCCTTAGCCTATCCTTGCCCATCTGTATAATATAGTATAATCATCTCAGCTCGGTTCTTGTTAACAATTCTTACCACATTTTGTTCTCCCTGAGTTTCGTTCCTTGCCAAGTTCACAAGCTGTACACAAGGCTGCTCCTTCTGAACTGATCGTGTTATCAGGACATTCTTTACATGTGTTCATCGCAATGTTCTTGTAGCTTCCAGCTGGACATGGCTCTGAAGAATTAGGAAATCTTTAAGCAGCAATTCGTTTGAACTACCTTATTAAGAAGTTATTGTGAGTACCAATATCCTCGGTTTTCATTCTATAGCACAGTTAATTCAAATTTAAAACATAACAATAATATTAAATATAATAAGCTTTAAAGTTATCTTACCACAGGCTGTTTTGTCAGAGTTTGGTGTCAATCCAGCGTCACATGTCTCACAGCTTGTCATAGCATCATTCCGATATGATTTTTCTCCACACGGCTCTACAATTATAACGTTACAAATGGCAAATCGTTGTGGAAGATAAGAAAATCGTTATTATATAAGTACACTTCAGATGTGTTGCAATGTACAATTACATAAGATTTAAAACAATAGGTGGAAAATTAAATATCCACACAACCACGGTTTTTTGATAGACTTATTACCACCCAGACTCTTACGGTTCTTGTCTTTTTGTACCACAATAATTTGCCTTCTTGATTCTAAGCCCTATCTGGCGCATTATCCTTATCCCGTCTTAACCCTTAGCCTATCTTTACCAATCTATATAATATAGATATAATCATATTAGCTCGGTTCTTGTTAACAATTCTTACCACATTTTGTTCTCCCTGAGTTTCGTTCCTTGCCAAGTTCACAAGCTGTACACAAGGCTGCTCCTTCTGAACTGATCGTGTTATCAGGACATTCTTTACATGTGTTCATCGCAATGTTCTTGTAGCTTCCAGCTGGACATGGCTCTGAAGAATTAGGAAATCTTTAAGCAGCAATTCGTTTGAACTACCTTATTAAGAAGTTATTGTGAGTACCAATATCCTCGGTTTTCATTCTATAGCACAGTTAATTCAAATTTAAAACATAACAATAATATTAAATATAATAAGCTTTAAAGTTATCTTACCACAGGCTGTTTTGTCAGAGTTTGGTGTCAATCCAGCGTCACATGTTTCACAGCTTGTCATAGCATCATTCCGATATGATTTTTCTCCACACGGCTCTACAATTATAACGTTACAAATGGCAAATCGTTGTGGAAGATAAGAAAAACGTTATTACATAAATACACTTCAGATGTGTTACAATTACATAAGATTTAAAACAATAGGCGAAAAATTAAATATCCACACAACTACGGTTTTTTGATAGACTTATTACCACCCAGACTCTTACGGTTCTTGTCTTTTTGTACCACAATAATTTGCCTTCTTGATTCTAAGCCCTATCTGGCGCATTATCCTTATCCCGTCTTAACCCTTAGCCTATCTTTACCAATCTATATAATATAGATATAATCATATTAGCTCGGTTCTTGTTAACAATTCTTACCACATTTTGTTCTCCCTGAGTTTCGTTCCTTGCCAAGTTCACAAGCTGTACACAAGGCTGCTCCTTCTGAACTGATCGTGTTATCAGGACATTCTTCACATGTGTTCATCTCAATGTTCTTGTAGCTTCCAGCTGGACATGGCTCTGAAGAATTAGGAAATCTTTAAGCAGCAATTCGTTTGAACTACCTTATTAAGAAGTTATTGTGAGTACCAATAGCCTCGGTTTTCATTCTATACCACAGTTAATTCAAATTTAAAACATAACAATACTAATACTATTAAATTTTATAAGCTTTAAAGTTATCTTACCACAGGCTGTTTTGTCAGAGTTTGGTGTCAATCCAGCGTCACATGTCTCACAGCTTGTCATAGCATCATTCCGATATGATTTTTCTCCACACGGCTCTACAATTATAACGTTACAAATGGCAAATCGTTGTGGAAGATAAGAAAAACGTTATTACATAAATACACTTCAGATGTGTTACAATTACATAAGATTTAAAACAATAGGCGAAAAATTAAATATCCACACAACTACGGTTTTTTGATAGAATTATTACCACCCAGACTCTTACGGTTCTTGTCTTTTCGTACCAATAATTTGCCTTCTTGATTCTAAGCCCTATCTGGCGCCTTATCCTTATCCCGTCTTAACCCTTAGCCTATCTTTGCCCATCTATATAATATAGATATAATCATCTCAGCTCAGTTCTTGTTAATAATTCTTACCACATTCTGTTCTCCCTGAGTTTCGTTCCTGGCCAAGTTCACAAGCTGTACACAAGGCTGCTCCTTCTGAACTGATCGTGTTATCAGGACATTCTTCACATGTGTTCATCTCAATGTTCTTGTAGCTTCCAGCTGGACATGGCTCTGAAGAATTAGGAAATCTTTAAGCAGCAATTCGTTTGAACTACCTTATTAAGAAGTTATTGTGAGTACCAACAGCCTCGGTTTTCATTCTATACCACAGTTCATTCAAATTTAAAACATAACAATACTAATACTATTAAATTTTATAAGCTTTAAAGTTATCTTACCACAGGCTGTTTTGTCAGAGTTTGGTGTCAATCCAGCGTCACATGTTTCACAGCTTGTCATAGCATCATTCCGATATGATTTTTCTCCACACGGCTCTACAATTATAACGTTACAAATGGCAAATCGTTGTGGAAGATAAGAAAATCGTTATTATATAAGTACACTTCAGATGTGTTACAATTACATAACATTTAAAACAATAGGCGAAAAATTAAATATCCACACAACTACGGTTTTTTGATAGACTTATTACCACCCAGACTCTTACGGTTCTTGTCTTTTTGTACCACAATAATTTGCCTTCTTGATTCTAAGCCCTATCTGGCGCCTTATCCTTATCCCGTCTTAACCCTTAGCCTATCTTTACCAATCTATATAATATAGATATAATCATCTCAGCTCGGTTCTTGTTAACAATTCTTACCACATTTTGTTCTCCCTGAGTTTCGTTCCTTGCCAAGTTCACAAGCTGTACACAAGGCTGCTCCTTCTGAACTGATCGTGTTATCAGGACATTCTTTACATGTGTTCATCGCAATGTTCTTGTAGCTTCCAGCTGGACATGGCTCTGAAGAATTAGGAAATCTTTAAGCAGCAATTCGTTTGAACTACCTTATTAAGAAGTTATTGTGAGTACCAATATCCTCGGTTTTCATTCTATAGCACAGTTAATTCAAATTTAAAACATAACAATAATATTAAATATAATAAGCTTTAAAGTTATCTTACCACAGGCTGTTTTGTCAGAGTTTGGTGTCAATCCAGCGTCACATGTCTCACAGCTTGTCATAGCATCATTCCGATATGATTTTTCTCCACACGGCTCTACAATTATAACGTTACAAATGGCAAATCGTTGTGGAAGATAAGAAAATCGTTATTATATAAGTACACTTCAGATGTGTTACAATTACATAAGATTTAAAACAATAGGCGAAAATTAAATATCCACACAACTACGGTTTTTGATAGAATTATTACCACCCAGACTCTTACGGTTCTTGTCTTTTCGTACCAATAATTTGCCTTCTTGATTCTAAGCCCTATCTGGCGCCTTATCCTTATCCCGACTTAACCCTTAGCCTATCTTTGCCCATCTATATAATATAGATATAATCATCTCAGCTCAGTTCTTGTTAACAATTCTTACCACATTCTGTTCTCCCTGAGTTTCGTTCCTGGCCAAGTTCACAAGCTGTACACAAGGCTGCTCCTTCTGAACTGATCGTGTTATCAGGACATTCTTCACATGTGTTCATCTCAATGTTCTGGTAGCTTCCAGCTGGACATGGCTCTGAAGAATTAGGAAATCTTTAAGCAGCAATTCGTTTGAACTACCTTATTAAGAAGTTATTGTGAGTACCAATAGCCTCGGTTTTCATTCTATACCACAGTTAATTCAAATTTAAAACATAACAATACTAATACTATTAAATTTTATAAGCTTTAAAGTTATCTTACCACAGGCTGTTTTGTCAGAGTTTGGTGTCAATCCAGCGTCACATGTTTCACAGCTTGTCATAGCATCATTCCGATATGATTTTTCTCCACACGGCTCTACAATTATAACGTTACAAATGGCAAATCGTTGTGGAAGATAAGAAAATCGTTATTATATAAGTACACTTCAGATGTGTTACAATTACATAAGATTTAAAACAATAGGCAAAAATTAAATATCCACACAACTACGGTTTTTTGATAGACTTATTACCACCCAGACTCTTACGGTTCTTGTCTTTTTGTACCACAATAATTTGCCTTCTTGATTCTAAGCCCTATCTGGCGCCTTATCCTTATGCCGTCTTAACCCTTAGCCTATCTTTACCAATCTATATAATATAGATAATCTATTAGATATAATCATCTCAGCTCGGTTCTTGTTAACAATTCTTACCACATTTTGTTCTCCCTGAGTTTCGTTCCTTGCCAAGTTCACAAGCTGTACACAAGGCTGCTCCTTCTGAACTGATCGTGTTATCAGGACATTCTTTACATGTGTTCATCGCAATGTTCTTGTAGCTTCCAGCTGGACATGGCTCTGAAGAATTAGGAAATCTTTAAGCAGCAATTCGTTTGAACTACCTTATTAAGAAGTTATTGTGAGTACCAATATCCTCGGTTTTCATTCTATAGCACAGTTAATTCAAATTTAAAACATAACAATAATATTAAATATAATAAGCTTTAAAGTTATCTTACCACAGGCTGTTTTGTCAGAGTTTGGTGTCAATCCAGCGTCACATGTCTCACAGCTTGTCATAGCATCATTCCGATATGATTTTTCTCCACACGGCTCTACAATTATAACGTTACAAATGGCAAATCGTTGTGGAAGATAAGAAAATCGTTATTATATAAGTACACTTCAGATGTGTTACAATTACATAAGATTTAAAACAATAGGCGAAAAATTAAATATCCACACAACTACGGTTTTTGATAGAATTATTACCACCCAGACTCTTACGGTTCTTGTCTTTTCGTACCAATAATTTGCCTTCTTGATTCTAAGCCCTTATATCTGGCGCCTTATCCTTATCCCGTCTTAACCCTTAGCCTATCTTTGCCCATCTATATAATATAGATATAATCATCTCAGCTCAGTTCTTGTTAACAATTCTTACCACATTCTGTTCTCCCTGAGTTTCGTTCCTGGCCAAGTTCACAAGCTGTACACAAGGCTGCTCCTTCTGAACTGATCGTGTTATCAGGACATTCTTCACATGTGTTCATCTCAATGTTCTTGTAGCTTCCAGCTGGACATGGCTCTGAAGAATTAGGAAATCTTTAAGCAGCAATTCGTTTGAACTACCTTATTAAGAAGTTATTGTGAGTACCAATATCCTCGGTTTTGATTCTATAGCACAGTTAATTCAAATTTAAAACATAAAAATAATATTAAATATAAGCTTTAAAGTTATCTTACCACAGGCTGTTTTGTCAGAGTTTGGTGTCAATCCAGCGTCACATGTCTCACAGCTTGTCATAGCATCATTCCGATATGTTTTTTCTCCACACGGCTCTACAATTATAACGTTACAAATGGCAAATCGTTGTGGAAGATAAAAAAATCGTTATTATATAAATACACTTCAGATGTGTTACAATTACATAAGATTTAAAACAATAGGTGAAAAATTAAATATCCACACAACCACGGTTTTTTGATAGACTTATTACCACCCAGACTCTTACGGTTCTTGTCTTTTCATACCACAAATTTGCCTTCTTGATTCTAAGCCCTTATATCTGGCGCCTTATCCTTATCCCGTCTTAACCCTTAGCCTATCTTTGCCCATCTGTATAATATAGTATAATCATCTCAGCTCGGTTCTTGTTAACAATTCTTACCACATTTTGTTCTCCCTGAGTTTCGTTCCTTGCCAAGTTCACAAGTTGTACACAAGGCTGCTCCTTCTGAACTGATCGTGTTATCAGGACATTCTTCACATGTGTTCATCTCAATGTTCTTGTAGCTTCCAGCTGGACATGGCTCTGAAGAATTAGGAAATCTTTAAGCAGCAATTCGTTTGAACTACCTTATTAAGAAGTTATTGTGAGTACCAATATCCTAGGTTTTCATTCTATAGCACAGTTAATTCAAATTTAAAACATGACAATAATATTAGATATAATAAGCTTTAAAGTTATCTTACCACAGGCTGTTTTGTCAGAGTTTGGTGTCAATCCAGCGTCACATGTCTCACAGCTTGTCATAGCATCATTCCGATATTTTCCTTCTCCACACGGCTCTGGAATTAATAACTTTAAAACTGGCAAATCGTAGTGGAAGATAAGAAAATCGTTATTATATAACTATTTAAGTACAGTTCAGATGTGTTACAATAGCATTAGATTTATAACAATATGTGAAAAATTAAATATCCACATATTCCACGGTTTTTCGATGAAATTATTGCCACCCAGACTCTTACGATTCTTGTAATTTCGTACCACAAATTTTCCTTCTTGGTTCTAAGCCCAATACTAATTCAAATTGTTATCAGTCATTAGGATTAACGCTAAAAATTCGCCTCATCAACAAACTATGAAGCACAATGCCCATTACACAATGCACAAATTGTGTAAACTCTGCAAAATAAATATTGAACCAAAAAAGTTTTGAGTTTGTTTGGTAAAATACCTTACTGCTTATGTTCAAGATATTTTGTAAAAACATCAGTTTTCAATTGATAATTGTTTCAACCTTTAGTAGCTGAAAATGGTTTGTCTCCATGATGTCTACTACAAAATATGCAATATTTCTAAATTATAGTTAGCTATTTTGCAATCTGAAAGAATGTGATTTTATCTCATTCGGAGAACAGTAATTGATAAAATTATGACCACTTTATTAAGTTATAAATAACAATATATACTAACTATCCTATATCCCATATCCTATGATATATGCGTTTATAAATCAAGAGGCTTGCATATGAACATACTGACATGGGTGCAGAGTTGAGCCTGTACGGAACCTAGTAGTTTCAGTTCCTTGTTTAACTTGCCGCACAGCAAGGACATCCACCACCCTAGCCTGGCGAGGCACACAAATAACTAAATAACATACTTGAAATTTAGACAGAAAACACGTAATCACGAGCTTACGAGAGAATCAGCAAGTTGGCTTATTTGTAAATTAAAGTTATTGTTTGTTAAACCAAAGCTTGTTGTTATTAGTCACCTGGTTGTGTTCCGTAGTAATTAGATGCTCTGTCGGAGGAGGAAGCGAACTTTATCTTTGTCACGTCCCTGTTCCAGATCGTGCTCCACCCACCGTAACTATTGTTTTCACACGTTGCTTGAGAGATCAGTATGTTGAGCACCTCTACCTCGTTACAGTGTATCACTACTCTAACACCTGCAGTTTTGGTTAGAGTGATACGCCACACCTTGTCAGTAGGAGAGGGGAGATTAACAGGGAGGTTAGTGGAGGATGTGGTGCAGTAGGGGAGCGCGTATTGTGGAGTAGAGCTGAATTTGAGGTATACTCCTCCTGCATACTCTCCCTCAGCAGAGTAGAGGAACACATGCACCATATCGCCACTCCCCAGCACACTATTAGTTTTAATTTCTAAAGGTGTCGACTCAAGATCCCACTCTATTTCCACGTTACGTTCGACTGGTAACCAACCTGTTAATTGTATGTTTAATTCATGACTACTGAGCAACGATTAATGAATATCATGAATTTAAAGAAGAGGTGTTCTAGCAAAATTGTAAAGGAATTGTATGAATGTCGCCCATAGTTTATTCTCAGAATTTAAGGGCCCGACCATACTATGACTGTTGTCATGGTGCGGTCAGATTTAATGACCATATGTACGTAGTGTGTTTATAGGGCGTGCCAAGGATACGTGTCAACTCCTCAGGCACTCGGCTTTTCAAAAGCCGTACCTAGCTGATAATCCGTGCCTGACGTGACTGCAGGCACAGTCTATTCAGTACTCGTGCCAACTGTCATGGATAACGTGACGTCACGATTACCTAATAAGGTCAATATTTTTCGTGATATGGACATTTGCAGTGCAGAGTGCAAAGATAAACGATAGTACTATAGTACAGACAGATCCGTCTAAAAAAATCGATCTACTGACAGAAGAAGCTTCCAGAGGATTTATGACGTTTTTAGGTTCAATTTTAAGTTTCATTCGGGTGGCCAACTTTTCCAAAATTGTCCACGTGTCTTAAGGCCACTTTTGGCCACTTTTTGCCACTTTTTGCCACTTTTTACCTCCTTTCTTGTTTGTCAAATATTTTCAGCTGTGAACATCGTAGAAGGATACGAACATGTTTGACGATAGCCTGTAGATTGATAGTTTGATCTCAGTATTTACAACAATTCATCTAGTTTGATTGATTCAAAGGGAAACAAATTCCTCTTATAATAGAGGGTAATTATCATATCGACGAGAAAAACGTTTGTAAGGCAAATGTTCATGTCAGACAATTAGATAATTGGATAGTTACTAATCAGCAAGTAACAAAAAATCATAAAAATGTTTATTGGCTCAAAATTATCGGGATTTCTTGAAACACTGGGAAAGGTAGGTAGCTTTTGAAAAAACTTTCGAAAATTTAAAATTTGTTTCCGCCAAAAGTTTTTTCGAATTAAAGTTCTAATGAAAGCATCAAACCATGGTTTGGTGGCCGAACTGCATCCAACCGAATTGGTCCCCACTGGGAACCAGATTGGTCCCCACTGGGAATCGAACCCCAGTCGTCCGTGTGGGAAGTAAATGTATTAAAACCACTAAACCACCCGGCCGACGTGACAGCACTCACATTTTACTATTTTCATCCCAATTATCATAGTATGTTTAGAGATCGAGCCTAAAATCATGACAAATGGCACAGTGTGTTATGAGGCCGTGCCTTTACTCGTGACAACAGTCATAGTATGGCTCTTACTTCCTTTTCCCATAGGTAGTATACAAATTTGCGAAATTTGTGACTAAAATTATGGTATTATCAAAATGTTTGTAACCAAATTTATTGACCTTTAGGTATACTTTTATGCGATACATCGCATAAATATCATTATGGTAAACTTTTAATCAGTATATTATGTAATCATTTGATTTAACCTGTTATCCGGTTTGCAGGAACCATGTAATTCAAATTTTCCCCGATTACTTCATTTCCCGATTACTTCGCTGCCTGTTAGGTGCCTTGCCGTCACTCGATAGGCAGCAGTATTTATGCGACCAGCTCTGTAAAACATTTTCTTACAACGACATATTATGCTATCTTTTATAATCCAATATTTTAGAACTTTACACCTTGTTGTATTTGCGAAAGATCAAAGTATACAGACTGTTACAATGCTGAAAAACAGCAAACGTTTTTCCCTAGGGCGTTAATTGTACTGACGGAGGTCACTAGTATCAAGATCTTAGTTTTAAGTTATATTAAAACAAAACACTTATTTAACAATAGATGTATCTCCAATCAGATAATGTAACTACACAAGCCACAGCAATTAAGTCTATGATATGTAGGCTGAGACATCTAGAAAATGCCGTTTTGAGTATGAGTTGTTAACTCAGAGTCATACCCTTGTTTGTTTCAGCTGTTAGATTCAGCATGAAGCAAACAGAGGAGTGAATTACTGAGAATTAAACAATTTGAACTTATTGTAGTGACACCAGATGGATTTTCAATGTTATCATTTAGGTCTTAATTCTTTTCTGTTTGATCCCTGTCACCCTGTGGTCAATTCAAAGATAATACTTTCAACACTTGCACTTCTACTGGATAAACTTCACCTCATTGGACACACTTCCTACAGCTCTTATCCCGACGTACAATAAGTATCAGCCCGAAAGCAGCTCAAAAATATTTCTACTGAGTTTGATTAATGTAGTAAACCTAAATTCGTTACAATTTGCAGGCCGTGAATGAATGGGGAAAACGATCAGCGACCGATTACATTCCCGGTATCATTTTGCATAAATTTGAGAACGGTAACTTAAATTGATCTACTTCCTTTGTGTCTGGAAAAAGGAGATACGGTCGATGGTCCAATCTACCCAATTTTTGGTTTTTGTGAAAAGTATTTAATACTATAATTATCTCATTTCACCGGGTATAAGTGGTACTATTTCTATTTTCTATAACGATAAATTATTGATCTATTTTTGATCAATGATAAGTAAAATAGCAGCTCATGCATGCACATGTCACGTAGCTTACCACAGAGAGATAGCGAGATGATTTGTAGGAATATTAACTTCGTTTGAAGATTCCGCATGTCTGCCATTCTACATTGTTAGAAAAATCGATGTTTAGCTTTAAACGAAATGTCAACAACTGAAGATTGAGGAAAGTACATAATACAAGTTTACTAATTAACTCACCAGAGTGCTATCACGTGAATTAAATGAATTTGTGGATTTGCAGCCGAACGAAACGGTTTTATAAACCCTAATCCTATCCAGTAACCATGACCCCGAAGCTGATCACTATGACCGTAATTCATGTTTTACAAGCCTGTCGTGTGACCAAAACAGTTTTTGCCGATAACTTCTTGGGCAAGCGTTTCAACCTTATACATTTATAGCAACCCTATATATTTATAGCAGGTAATTCGGAATCAGCGTCCAAAATACATCGAACGAAGCTTATACTATTGACATTTTACATACTTTCATGGCCGGGCTCTTTCCTAAACGTTTCAAATATCATCGGCGAGTGATAACTAGCAGAAAGCCCATGCTCTACACCATTCTGCCCTCCGCTAAAGACTAAATAAGCGGGTCTACAATCACCATCTTGCGATTAATTTTGTGATTAAATAATTTTAATCTTATTCCTTTCTAGAGGCAAACATCATATTATATGATACTAGAAAACCCGTGGTCACAGGGAAGAAGCTAATAGTATTTTTTGTTATTAAGTTTAAATCGCGTCAAAAAATATCCTACACAACCGAAGATACAGCCAATTAAAATGTTGCTCGCACTAAACACAACGTTATATCAACAAAACCGATCAAAATGCCGTTTTAAAAATCTTTGCACGTGCACGTGCGTGTAACAATCCTCGTTACCATGATAACTTCTCAACTACCTATTTCTCGTCTGATTTGCACGTGGGCGGTCGTACAAACGACAAACAAAGATAATTCTTTGAATTATAAGTAAGATATAGAGGCAACAAAAAGGTGCATTCAAAAGAAAAAAATGGTTCGGCTCTATCACAAATTTCATCTTGCATCTTAGGGGGGCGCAAAAATCATTGATGTTAAGTACGCCGAAAAACCAGTCGAAAATACGCCGTTTGTCTAAATTGTAAGACATACGTGAAATACGGCACATTTTGCAACTTTAGAAAAAAATTAAAAGTTTGATGCTAATATAAATTTTGTCCGAATATGCTCGTATGCCGTACGTTTATAAAATATGCTACGTACTTAACATCCTTGGCCAAATTTTCGTTTGAATGTGGAATAATTTTGAAAAACTTAACTGAAGTACTAGCAAAACTGCGCGTTTTGCTCTAGAAACACACTTTTTAGAAATTTTTACCGGCGTATCCTCTAAGTTTAAAATCACCTAATTTGTTCAATTTTAGGGAGGGGCGCCAAAAGGTAAGGGGGCATCAACAGGGGGCGCTTTTTCGGCGCCAACAGGCAACGTTACACCACTGATTATATTCAAGTGCGACCTATTCCTGTAATTTAGTATGTATATTGTGTCATGTTAGCTAAGGACAAATAAGACCGTCATAAATTGGCAATGTGGCTATGGACGGGATGGTATTCAATGTGATCATTTGCATTTTGCGGCGAGGTAGTGCAGTGGGGGAAAAAAGAAAACACATTATATTACAAATGTTTTGAATTGGCTTGCTTAAAAGTTGAAGACTGACAGCTCATAAAAACCATACTCAATGCCAAATTCCAATGAGTGGTAAAGCTTCTAGAATTTTCTATCGCAAAACAGAGCGACCAGTGGGCCTAATGGCATCATCCTGCTCGCTGCGCCTTTGGTGTCCGTTACCAAAATCAGTTGTTATCGATTTTACCCGAGAGAAAACGTCCGCGGTAAATTTAGATTTCCAGAGAGCGGGAGTTAAAACCAAACGTCAGGCACAACTCTAACTCTCTTAGAGAACTCTGGCCAGGTTTGTCAGTTTGTGTCCGGACATTAGGAGAGGGACAAATCTTAATATGCTAAACTAATGGTAAGCACCCATTTAAATATGATAAACTATGCTCATCCACATTGGACTCCTTGTCTAACGGACGGTTAACTTTAAGAGCTGCTTTACTAAGAAACTTGGTACCTTGAATTATTGAAGTGGTGGAATTGCCGGCCCAGTCTACAAGACGCAGCTTACTTTACTAAGAAACTTGGTACCTTGAATTATTGAAGTGGTGAATGCCGGCAGTCCTATTGAAGTGGTGGAATTGCCGGCCCAGTCTACAAGACGCAGCTTACTTTACTAAGAAACTTGGTACCTTGAATTATTGAAGTGGTGGAATTGCCGGCCCAGTCTACAAGACGCAGCTTACTGTACTAAATCCTTGATATGGAAGATAATTGTGTCCTTTAAGAGTTCGGGTGATCCTGTAGAATTACAGGTCACTCTATAATATGTAGAGACCACAGTCCAAACGGTATATATCTAACTATGGTCCAGTTATGTAATGAGGGTTACTTTGATTGTTGATTGGGACTGGCCAAAAAGTGCTAACCAATGTTAACGGAATAGAAATTAAATGCACAATAATTATGTGAGTTGTGAAATTTCTGAAATCCTACACACCTAATATTATTTATTCATTATCTTTTCTTAATCTTATTAATATTATTGTAAGAAAAGATAATGAAAAAATGATAATATACCTACAATTCTACGTGCTTATTGTCACAAAATCTTAATTTCTTTTTTAAAGTAAAAGAAAATAATCTGAACATTAAGATTCTATAAACGAGCCAGTTAGTAAAGACAGGAAAGGTGTGCAACGGGAGAGCCAATCTCGCAAGATTCGTCGAATTATTATATGTTATACTTATAGGTACTCATTTTGTGTCATTTCCTTGTAGCCCAATGCGATTGTTTAACTTTAACTGTAAGTTTATGAAGAATTATGTAATTACAGATAGTGTCATTTCCTTGTAGCCCAATGCTAATGTTTAACTTTAAGATTTATGAAGACTTATGTAATTACAGATAGTGTAATTTCCTTGTAGCCCAATGCTAATGTTTAATTTTAAGATTTATGAAGACTTATGTAATTACAGAGAGTAGCAGATAGTTTTTGCGTGTGGTTCGGAAACACAATCATTAGACCAAAAATAAGTTTTTAGCAATTTTAAACGGGAAAAACGTCAGCGGTAAATCTAGATTTGCAGAAATCAGGAGTTAAAGCCAAAGGTGAGGCACATGACAACTCTAAAATAACTCCGGTCAGTTCTGGGTCCTGGCATAACATAAGTTGAGAGACGTCATGTGTAATGAGAAAATCTGTATATGATAAAATGAATGTAATGGTAAGTGCCAATTAAATCAGGATAAACTCTGTTTATTAACATGAGACTCCATGTTGACAGTTTAGTCTTAGAGCTTATGTATTAAGCAACGTAATACCGTGAATTATTGAAATGGTGGAATTGTTTGTTGCAGCAGCTGCTCGGCGCAGATTACTGAACTAAACCCTTGACTGGAGGATAATGATGTTCTTTAAAACTAAAAGCTGTGCGGAGAATTCTAATGTGGTCTGACATAAACATGTAACTCGAATTTTGAAAAATTCTGCATCAGATGAGCCCTTTTTTGTAGCCGAGAAAGGCCCGGAAGTGTGATTTCCCAACATGTAACTTTCCAAGAGGTAGTAAAAACCACGTAAAAACATGTAAGATACATGTTTTTGTCAGAAAGTTATGACAATGAATTGGATTAGAATCACCTATGTATGAAACATACATGTTTTTGTCCGATTTTTTGCACGTGTATTTTAGTGCAACTGCAGCTGCACGTGCTGAAATTTCACTTCCATCTCGCCGTTACTGGTTTCGTTGTAGCTTGAGCAGCTGCCTGTTGAATGCTCAAGTTAATCACGCTTGCACCTTTTTAATCATAGGTAACAGGCCACTTAAATATTTTCAAGGTTTACACGAAGGAGTTCAACAGGGTCAACAAAGTTGATAATTGCACTCGAATTTCTGAAATTCAAAATAGTAATAATTGTGAGTTTGATGCGATAACGACGAAATTTGTACACATTTCCTTTGAAACATTAGTGCATTATATTAGCATATTCTAAGAAATGATATCGATTTTAACGGTCCAAGTTAATTCCCATCTGTTTTGTTAGCTGATGGACATTCAATAAAGTTGTGCGATAGCAGATAGGTATATTTTAGTTTAGGTACATATTATCATTTAAGAATAGGATTAGATTGAAATTTAGAATAACTTATGTAATAACGTTCTAATCCTAATGTAGTAATTGCTCAGTAGTATTTATATAGTTTATATTTTGTTTGTTGTAAATTATCATGAGTCACCTTCACCTCAAATTGTACCGTTTAGATTCCACAGTTTCAGCACCTCAAATCATATAAGTTCTCATTTTCCCAGCAATTAGTTTCATCCTTTCGTTAAGTTTTGTATACGCATTGAGGAGGAGAAGGTGGTAGATGAGGAGGATGAGGAGGTCTGAGGAGAAGGAGGAGAAGGTGAAGAAGGACTGAGGAGGAGAAGGATGAGGACTGAGGAGGAGGAGGAGGAGGAGGAGGAGAAGGACTAAGGAGGAGAAGGAGGACCCAGGAGGAGGATAACTGATGATGAGGACCGATGAGAAGGAGGAGAAGGAGGACTGAGGAGGAGGATGAGGACTGAGGAGGACTGAGGAGGAGAAGGAGGACCCAGGAGGAGGACCCAGGAGTAGGAGTAGGAGGACTGAGGAGGAGGAGGACTGAGGAGAAGGAGGACTGAGGAGGAGGAGGATGACTGAGAAGGAGGAGGATGACTGAGAAGGAGGAGGACTGAGGAGAACTGAGGAGGAGGAGGAGGAGGACTGAATAGGAGGAGGAGTAGGGGGACTGGGGGAGGACTGAGGAGGACTGAGGAGGAGGAGGACTAAGGAGAAGAAGGAGGACTGATGAGGAGGATGAGGAGGAGTGTGACTGGGGGAGAACTGAGGATGAGGATGAGCACTGAGGAGGAGGAGGAAGAGGACAAGGACTGAGGAGGCGGAGGACTGAGGAGGAGGACTGAGGAGGAGGAGGACTGAGGAGGAGGAGGACTGAGGAGTGAGGACTGAGGAGGAAGAGGAAGAGGACTGAGGAGGACTGAGGAGAAGGGGGAGGATGAGGAGGAGGAGGATTGAGGAGGACTGAGGAGGAGGATGACTGAGGAGGAGAAGGAGGACTGATGAGGAGGATGGGGAGGAGGGTGACTGGGGAAGGAGGAGGAAGAGGAGGACTGAGGAGGAGGAGGACTGAGGAGGACTGAGGAGGAGGAGGACTGAATAGGAGGAGTAGGGGGACTGAGGAGGACTGAGGAGGAGGAGGACTAAGGAGAAGGATGAGGAGGATGAGGACTGAGGAAGACTGAGGATGGCTGAGGAGGATGACTGAGAGAGATGAGGAGGAGGTGGAGGAGGAAGAGGAGGACTGAAGAGGACTGAGAAGGAGGAGGACTGAGGATAACG